GAAATAATCCAGTTCATGTTTTGTACTATTTTATTTCTGCAGGGTAATGGGTTTCTTTATATAGCATTTCTAATTAGGTTTATAATTCTGCTTAAACCGATTGGTTGAGTCAGTGTGTCCTGCGATTGGTCTATTTTATGGACCTTGCAGGGATTGGTCATTGTACTGTGTAAATAAGGTGCATAAAATCTTCCAGTAATCTTGAGTAACTTGCAGAGATATGCCCGATGAACACATCCTGCCTCCTGAGTTGATCTCCTATTGTAGTCTGTTATTTCCCTAATAAAACACATTCATATGGCATGTGGCCATCTCTACAAATGATTGACACTAGCGAAGAAGTACTGAGTGCCATGCAGGGAGATGAGTGGTTTCAGAGATGGTGAATGTTAGAAAGTGGGAGTTTGTCGGACCTTCACCTCATAGGAAGCAGATTTGTGCTGATGCTGAGTGTTGTCTCTCAGGAATCTAGATGATGTCTGATTACATTACAGTATCCAAGAATAATTTGTGTACAATCCAAGGTCACAATGGTTTGTTCCTATATTATTTGTCACTCGCTCTCTAGTTTTCATTTTAACATTTATGTTAAACATTTCAAGTTGATTTAAAGAATGTGTTATTTCCCACAGAGTTATCTGATTATTTCATCACCATTTGTTGAGGGACTGTCATTTCTAAATAAAGTCACGTGTTTCACTTTTTGAAGAATCAACTGATCAGTTATTCATGGCTTCATTTCTGGGCATTATACTCCTGAGATCTATATTTCTATTCTTATGCTAATATCACACAATTGTGACTAGAGTTGTTTTGTTTAATCCATAAAATAACTTATTGTGAGACTTCTAAACTTCTTTAAAATTGTTTTGGAAATTCTAGGTTCTTTGATTTTTTCTAAGTAAATTTTAAAATCATTTTGTCAATTTCTCTTAGTAAAACACACTATTCTATGATTTTTGATTGAAATTGCATTAAATCTGGAGTTAGTTTTTGAACTGATATTTTAATAATAATGAACATGGTGTATATCTTCTCTTTGTTAGGTCTTTAATTTTTCTGGACAGTGTAGCTTTCTACTTATTGTTCTTGTACACATTTGATAAACTTTTCCCTTTGTGTATTTTATATTATTAATTCAAGTTTATGGGGTATTTTAAATGATTTGCCAGTACTATATAAGAATGGAATTGATATTTTGTGTACTGATATTCTACTCTATTGAATGGTTAGCCTGATTCAATAGTTCCAGTAGCTTCTTTACAGATTTTTTAGACTTTTCCACCTTGAAAATGTCATCTGAAGATTAAGAGAATTTTGCTTCTTCATTTCTGTTGGTGCATAACTCTTGGTTATTCAGGTGAATTTAAACAATGGAAATCTATTTTCCCACAACATGGCAGCCAAAATTTCAAGTCAGGGTACTGGTCTCCCATGTCTATTCCCTCCAAGGCTTTCGAGAAAGAACACATTCCACCTCTCTCACTGAGCTTAAAAATGTTCTGTTTGGAATAAACATGTGATGCTGCCAGGTAAGCGTTAGACTGCTAATGGCCCTCATCGAGAAGGACTGACACCATGATTTCAAATTAGAACAAGAGCATAGCGAATGCTTTAAAATCAGGAATAGTGTGCATCAGGGTTGTGTCCTCTCACCATACTATTCAACCACCTTCAACATGTGAAGAAGAATGTGGTTCAGGACTGGAGGAAGGCTTATTAACAATCTGTAATATGCAGAGAGCACAGCCTTGCTTACTGAAAGTGAGGAGGACTTGGAGCACTTGTTGATGAAGAACAAGGATTTCAGTCTTCAGTATGGATTACAATTTAAAGGTAGAAAGAATAAAACACTCACAGCTGGACTAATGAGTGACATTATGAAAATGGGAAAAAAGTTTGAAGTTGTCAAGGATTTTGTCTCGCTTGAATCTACAATCAATGCTCATGGAAGTAACAGTCAAGAGATCAAGGGATTGGTTGCCTTGGGTAAATCTGCTGCACAAGACCTTTTTAGAGTCCTGAAAAGCAAGGATGTTCCTTTGAGGACTAAGATGTGCCTGACCCGAGACATGGTACTTTTAATTGCCTCCTATGCATATGAAAGTTGGATGTTGAAAAAGGAAGACTAGAGAAGAATTTATGCATTTGATCTGTGGTGCTGAAGTAGAATACTGAAAGTATCATGGACTGCTAAAAGGACCAACAGATCTGTTTTGGAAGAAATATGGCCAGTGTTCCTTAGAGGCGAAGGTAGTGAGATTTTGTTTTACCTAGTTTGGACAAGTTGTCAGGAGACACCAGTACTGAAGAAGGACATCATGCTTGGTAAAGTAGAGGGGGAGGGAAAGAGAGGAAGACGCTCAGGGAGATGCACTGACACCGTGGCTGCAATAAGAACAACTGTGGGGAAGACTGAGCAGTGTTGAATTCTGTTGTGCAAAGGGTCACTATGAGGCAAAACCAGCTAGACAGCACCTAACATCAGACACGTTCAGAACATTCAAAATATGCACTGTATAACAACACCTTCTTTAAATTAGTTTTGTAGATGCTTTATAAGGGTCCTAGCTGGAAAGTCTTTGAGACTAATGCAAGCAATTAATGTTCTATGCCTTTACTCATTGTGGTCTTCAAAAAAGTGCTATATCAATGGATGCACTATATATATGTCACCAACAGCTATTTTATCACAGAAAAATAACCCTGATGGGCTTAAATAAATAGGCAAGCAACAGTGTTAAGGAGATATTATGTTTGCACAGGTAGATGGATAATCCAACAGTGTAACTTTAGGCCTGGCTTGTTCTAGGAAACTGCCTGCCTCTGACTCCTTGTTTTCTTTGAATATTGGCTCTGTTTGTGGGTAGTTCTTTTCTTAAAAAATATTTTCTTAGGAGCTCTTAAAGATATTATAACAATCCATGATTCAATTAAATCAAACATAATTGTACAATTGCTGCCACCATCAGTTTCAAAACATTTTCTTTCTTCTTGAACTCTTAAATACCAGCTCCTTTTAATCCTCCCCCCCTACTCCCAGGAACCCTTGTTATTATATTATCTATTATTGTTATTATTTTGCCATATCTTATACCATCTAATGTATCCATTTACCAACAATTCTGTTATTCTATTCCCCTCGAGTGGAGTTATACAGTAATCATTGCTATTGGTTCCCCCTTCCCCCTTCTTCCCACCTCTTCCCATACCCTCAGGGAATCATTACTCCCATTACTGTTTCTGAAGGTTTTATCTATCTTGGATTTCAGGCATTGAATGATCTTAATTCTACAAATGAATATATGCAAGTCTAACAAGATCAATGAGGTAAAACTAAGACCACAATAGTAAGGGGAGGAAATATTAAAGAACTAAAGGATAGTTATGCATTTCATCTGTGCTATACTATACCCTGGTTGTATCATCCTTTCCAGGTGGCCCTTCTGTGGGGGTCTGTCCAATTATCTTACAAATAGGTTTATTTTCCATATTTCTACAAGACGGCCTACAGCAGCACCAAGCTTTTCTTTACATGCTCAGTAACCCAGTGTATAGGGAGTTTTCCTTTTCTCTGTAGTTGCTGCAGAAGTATTGGGTTTGGGTTTCACTGACCAAGCTGTGGCCATATGTTCATCCCTTGACCAGCTACATGTGGTTTTGAGCAACACAGGTAGGGTTAGTTTGGCTCAAATTATGGGGATAATCCAGGTCCATCTCCCACACAAAGCCTGTCTAGTCCCACTTTCCAATTTGGGCACTCAGGTGCAACACACACTCTCAGAATTTGGGCCTAGAGTCCCCTTATTAGTTGAGGAGCATTGCCTTGTCCACCTTTATCATCTCACTGGGACTTACACAGAGTTTGGTGCCCAAAAGTGCCCATCTAGTATTTGCTTAATGGAATCAGTGTTCATTACCCATTCCATGTTTTCCCTGTGTGGGCCACGAGTGTTGCTGAAGATCCTGGAGAGGATGTGAAGTGTCAATCGGAGCCCTTCCTAGTGCCCAGAGAGCAGTTCAATGCTTACTAAGAAGATTTGTCCTTCAAGGGAGACAGATGAGTGGATGCCAAATTGTGTTACCGTTTACCCACCCTGGGGTCTCAGATAAGCACTGAATCCTGGGAAATCTCAGGTTCTGCATCTGCAAACAGGTCTGGTGATGCCCACCTCCACAGAGCTCTTGTAAAGATTATACGAGATAATCCATATGACGAGCTTAGAACATTGCCTCTTTTTAGTAGGTATATAACTCTGCTCACTACAATCTTTCTTTGTCTAAATAACTTCTAAAGAGTTATTCAGCAAGCCAACTCACCCATAGGGCCTGGCACCAATCGCCACCTTCTACCGAGACTTTTCTGACTGTTGGCACATAACTTCTCCAGATACCTCTAGCTGAAATTTGTACAGAGAAACTATCAAATCATAACACAGAATAACTTCCTCAATTTCACCAAAGAAACTAGAGTGACACTCTCCATCAGTGATGATCACAAGAAGGCTCTTTCTGAGATGACTAAGAATGACTAGAAATGTCTGCTATTTTTGCTGAAATGTGGTCCCTAATTTGACATTTTCCCCATTGGAAAGCCTTAACACCGGGAATATCATATAGCTGTCAAGAGTGTTTAAATAAAAACCATACACAGAAGTCTATGGCATCTTATAGGGCTATGTAAAGCTCTATTTTTTAAAGATTTTCAGGTACAACTAGAAATAATTTTATTATTATTAATATCACTGACAATTTTACAATTAACAGGAAGAACATTTTCATTAAATACGTATAATACCATAATCAGCACTATTCTAATTATTGCTGTCATATTATTAATAATATAGTTATGAGTGATGTGATTATATTAATAATAAAAAGGTAAAAGTGGTTTCCTTAACCAGAAAACAATGACCAATGAAAACTTAAGAATATAAACATCCAGCTCTTCCTCCCTCTTTGCTTCTTGCGGCTTGCTGTGCTGGTCCGTGTCTGTCACCATGCCTCACAAAATTGAAGAGATAAAGAACTTTGCTCACAACCTGCTAAAGGACGCTTTGTCTTTCAAGATCAAGAAGAACAAGTATTACGTTTCTAGATTAGGGACAAAGGGGCTTGTCTTCCCTAATGCCTGTGCTAAATGAAAATGAGCTGTCTCTGTCACATTAATGGGGTCGGAAAGAAATCAGGCACACTAATAAGACACCTATGGGAAAGATCCAAAATGAGCATGCCCAGGCACAAGCCCCCTGGACCCAGGTGAGAGGTCCACTTGGCTAGGCCCAGCTCCATGACATCAATCAGGTATGCTTAAACGCACCCAATAAGATCAGCCAAGACCTTTAACCATGCCTCCCAGCCCGAGGGGTTAAATACACCTGCCTCTTCTTTTTACTCTACTCTTGCTCAGGTGCATTTTGCTGGCAGGAGGGCGGGTGTCTCTTCCACGCAGCACTCCGGGGCCCCTGCCACCCTTCATAGCTGCTGAGGATTCCTCAGTTCTACACGTATGGGTTTCACGTCCCACTCCGGTGTTCTTGCCACGAGGTTTTTCACACCCAGTTGTGAACCTCCGCTCGAATTCTGCACGGTTTAGCACGCTTTCCAGAAATAGTGTGTACCTTTTTGAGACTCATACCTGAAACTTTCCCTGTCCTTCAGAAAAACTCACTTGGATGACAAAAGTGCTTCTGCTGCGCGAATTCTTTCAGTGCCTTGACGCAAAGAACGGAGGTACCCCAATCCAGGAACCTAATGCCTGAAGATCAAGGTTTGGCGCAGCAGGTATGTGCACACCCTGGTCATCACTGACAAGGAAGAGGCTGAAAGGTTGAAGCAGCCCCTGCCCCCACGTTTGACAGTGAAGGAGCTGAAATGAACCCAGCTGGCTGATGCGAGCTCTAATAAAAGATTTTAAAATAAAAAAAGAACATGAACATCACCTTTTATGAATATAAACATCACTAGTGAATCTTAAGATGAATTATGTCATCACTTTTTGAAGAAAAAAGAAACTGATATAGATAAAAGCAAGCTTTTAATTGAAGAGAGCAAAAAATAGTGCCGCTCAGTGTAAGCTCAAATGTCTCAGTACTCTTCAGATTGAGTGGGAAAAATTGAAAGCAAAGGATAATTGTAGGCAGGAGGACTAGGTCAACATCTGAATAATTACATTGGATTGATATTGTCACTAAAATAAATATACAAACAAGTTTTGTTAGAAGATTTTAGTATTTGAACCTTATTGTCCACATAGCTAGCTAGCTAGGTGGGTGTGAAAACTAGAAAATAAAGTAAAATGGATTAAAGGGTTACATACTAAAAGCCAATGAAACCACAAAGACGCTAGAAGAAGCTGCCAGTGCACACTGAAACAATTCACTGGCTGGAAAACAACTTTCTAAGCTGCCCAGGGTGGAGAACTCATAATGAGCAATGGATTGGATGGCATAGGACCTAAATATTTTATATTTCAGTAAAGTCATAGAACGTGACTCACACACAGGAAGAATATTTGCTGGACTATAATGAACAGGGTGTTTTATCTTAGGACCATACAGAATTCATCTGTAAGTATCCATAAGTATCACAAATATCAAAATCTTGAAAAGAAATTAAAATGAAGAGGCCATGCAAAGAACTGAACTCTAAGAATGTAAATGTCAGTGGTTAGCAAGCAGATGAAATGACCTATCTCACAAGCAAGTGCTGGGATGAGAGTTCAAGCAATGATATCATTGTAAGCAATTGAATATATAGATTAAAAATGATAATACTTAGTACTAGCAGAGTTATGATAAAAGAGTATGTGGGGTTGGCAGAAGAATAAACCATGATTAAAGTTAAGAAGCCAATTTGTCAAGGTGCATCAACAACTTTTAACTTGTACATATTTCTGATCTAATATATATATTTTCTAAAATGTGAAGTTTTTATTTTCAAAATGTATTCAAAATTTTCAAAATGTCTTACAAGAATAACAAAACATGGGTAAAGATTTATGCAGTGAGGGTTCAAACTAGGTTTCATCACATTCTTCAAACTAGAAAGAGATAGGAATCTGAATATCTAGTTAGGTAACGGTAAAATCAATATTTCACACTCTGGAAAATTATATGGGCTCCAAAAATGATTGCAGAGGGTTGAAAGATACAGGGAATTATATATGATATAATGGTGAACAGTAGACTGAGAAACATATTTACCACACCTGGCAGGTGAGGGAGGAGTTAGTAAGCACACTGTGCAAAGAACATTTACAGATTGGAAAACAAGCAAATGGCTAAAAGAGAGCACAGGCCATCACTAAGCAATTGGAAGAAGAGAAAATATACATAATTGCATAAACTCAGGAGAACTCGCTCGACTTCTAGGAACTGAGGCCACAAAAAGCCAAGTAATTGTGAAACTCCAGTCCTCGACCAGTCAAGTGGGCGAAAGTGTAAGAGAGGTGCAGTCATTCAGTGCCGGCAGAGATACAGTGATGCAGAAAATGCATAGATTGCCAGGGTGGTAGTCACCTAATGTGGTGTCAATTTAAGGATTAAGAGTGTAGGGGTGGAGTCTGGGCTGTAAATCTGGAGATAGCCAATGAGACTTCTGTGTGGACAGGGCCTCCTCTTGAGAATTCTGGGAAATATGGTACTTCCTCCTTGGAGGCGGAAGACACCTCTCTCTCTGCTACTCCCTGGGAGACCTTGCAGAAAAGCCACATGGATGCAACCAGACCTCTGAAGCCGGAGAAGCCACAGAGAGACCCTACCAGCACTGAGATGTTTCCAATCACCCTGAATCCAAAGACTTTCTACCCACTGGCTTGTGATCGTCCTGCATTTGGCTTCATTGCATGTGTTTCATGAGTGTGAAGAGGACTTTATAGATTGGTATTGGACATATCAGATTTATGGCCTTGGACTGGACTGAGTTGGGATGTTTTCTCGATGTTCAATTCCTTTTGCATATAAACCTCCTTTAAGAAAAATCATTTTATTGGGGCTCATGCAATTCATCACAATACATACATCAATTGGGTAAAGCACACTTATACATTTGTTTGCCCTCATCATTCTCAAAATTCGCTTTCCTCTTGGGTTCCTGGAATTAGCTCATTTTCCTTGGGTTTCTGGAATTAGCTCATTTTCCTTTTTTCCCCTCCCCCCTTCCCTCCTCCCTTGTGAACCCTTAATAATTTATAAATTATTATTATATCTTATCTTACACTGCCCGGCGTCTCCCTTCACCCACCCTTTTGTTGCCCATCCCCCAGAGAGGAGGTTATATGTAGATCCTTGTGATCGATTCCCCCCTTTTACCCCCACTTCCCTCCTGGTATCGCCACTGTCACCGCTGGACCTGAGGGGTTCATATGTCCTAGATTACCTGCGTTTCCAGTTCCCATCTGTATTGCTGTGCATCCTCTGGTCTAACCAGGTTTGCAAGGTAGAATTGGGGTCATGGTAGTTGGGGGGAGGAAGCATTTAAGAACTAGAGGAAGGTTGTGGGTTTCATTATTGCTATACTGAACCCTAAGTGACTCATTTCCTCCCCACTATCCCTCTGGAAGGTATGTTCATTTGTCTACAGGTGGGCACTGGGTCCCCATCACGCACCATCCTCATTCACGATGATATGGTTGGTTTTTTTTCCTCCCCTGCCTTTGGTGCTTGAAGCTTAGACCTTTCAGCCCTTCATGATCACACATGTTGGTGTGCTGCTTCCATGAACACGAGATGTTGAAGGGATCAGGTAGCAGACACCAAAGAACAAAAATCATCATTGTGTGACCATCTTCCCCACGTAGACACTGAAGATGAATGTGTGCATAAGTAAGTGTGGGGAAGAAGGCTGATGATGCCCAGCTATCGAGACCTATAGCGTCTGGGGACTTAAAGGCTTGAAAGTAAACAAGTGGCCATCTAGCCCAGAAGCAACAAAGCCCACATGGAAGCAGCCCACCAACATGTGTGATCATAAACCTCCTTCTTATACACATATGTGTGTCCATGGATTTGTTTCTCTAGTCTATCCAGACTAACACAGCCAGTTTGCATCTTTCGGAAAGCAAAATTAAAAGTTAAAATCTGTGTATCCTGTGACTTTACAGATCCACTTTATGGCTCTAACTGACAGAAATAAAAGCATCAATCACTTAAAAAATACTTTTATTTGGGGCTCTTACATCTCTTATCACAATCCATACATTCATCCAGGGTGCCAAGCATATTTGCACACAGGCCACCATCATAATTTTCAAAGCATTCTCTTCCTACTTGAGCTCCTGATATCAGTTACCCATTTCTTCCCTCTCCCTCCCCACCCACCCTCCCTCACAAACCCTTGATAAGTTATAGATTATTATTTCTATATCTTACATTGTCTTCGGTCTCCCCTCACCAACTTTTCTGTTATTCGTCCCCCTGGGAGGGGGTTCTAGTTTGATCCTTGTGATCAATTCCCCCTTCCTCCCCCCACCATCCCTTAATCCTACTGGTATCTCTATTCTCATTGTTGTCCCTGAGGGGTTTATCTATCCTGGATTCCCTGTGTTGTGGGCTCTTAGCTGTAGCAGTGTGCATGCTCTGGTCTAATCCAATTTGTAAGGTAGAATTGAGGTCATGATAGTGGGGGGAAGGAAGCACCAAAGTACTAGAGGAAGGTTGTGTGTTGCATCGGTGCAGTATCTCTTCCCTGTGATGTCCAATTGTCCACAGATGGGCACTGGGTCTCCACTTCATGCCCCCCTCCCCCCCTTCACCTTGGGTATGATTTTATTCTGGGTCTTAGATGCCTGATACCTGATCCAATTGACACCTCATGGTCACACTGGTTGGCGTGCTTCTTCCATGTGGGCTTTGTTGCATCTCAGATGGCCACTTGTTTATCTTCAAGCCTTTAAGACCCCCTCATCAGTTTTCTTCACCACATTTGCTTATGCCATTTTGTCTTCATCAATTGTGTTGGAAAGGTGAGCATCACAGAATGCTGCGTTGTTAGAACCAAGTGTTCTTGTGTTGAGGGAGTCATTGAGTCTAGACCCAATGTCCATCTGCAAATTTAATTTTTAACATATACATATGAGTACATAGTTCTATTCCCCTTTCATTATATATGTATTTACATATGTACATGCCTGTACTTAGGCCTCTATAAATTTCCTTTGCCTTCTGGTTCTTTTCTCTATTTCCTTTTACTTTCCTCTTGTCCCACCATCATGTTCAGCCTTCATTCAGGTTTAGTAATTCCTTGGTGCTACATTACCATTGATTAAGCCCCACTAGGTATCCTACCACCTTCATTCCATTGATTATAGTTCACTTGTCGTTCCCTTGTCCCTGCGTCAGTTTCCCCCACCTTTCCTTTCTCCTACCTCCCCATTTCCCATATCCCCGTCCCCCCAAACCACTGGTCCCATTCTTTTCATCTCCAAATTATTTATCCCACCTGTCTTATCTACATAGACATGCAGATTCATTAACAAGTGCAAAAACGAGGCAAAGCCAAATAAAACAACAAAGGAAGTCAAAACCAACAAAACAATAATAATAACAACCCAAAACAAAAACAAAATAACAAAAAGAAAGCCACTGACAAAAATGGAAAAGCCTATAAATAGTTCAAGGTCTGTTTGTTGGCCTTTATGAGTGTCAAGTCTGATGAGGTGCCACACTCAGTCTCCAAGGTCTATTTTTGGTAATTCCCCGGGTGTTTCATCAGTCTGCTGCCCCTACTGCTCTGCTGCATGCCCTCAGTGCCTCACTCCAGCATGATGGGGCCAGACCATGCACTATTCCTACAGTGTCTCCAGTGTTGTCTCCACAGTGCCATGGTTCAGTGAGGGACGCCATGTCCCATGGTGGGGCCGGCCCTATGGTCCTCCTC